TTCCTGCCTATGCAGGGGGTCGGACTCGATGATCTATTGAGGTCCCTTCCGACCCTGGCATCTATGAATTCAAACATTGGGGGAAAGATTCAGAAATGGTATGGACAAACACATTTTAGCTGCTTTAAAAGGGGGAGGGAGCTGCTGTTATGTCACTTCTGCATGATCCTGTAGGAATACAAGTGAACTAATTATCTTAACCCAGCTTCGTTCATAGCAAAGTTAAAGCTGGAGTAGTTTGCTACACCTGTATCACTACAGGCTCATGAGTGATAACAACCTGCATTTTTAACAGCCTGCATCAGTATGCTTTAATGTAGCTGCAATTGTTCCATATGTCTGTTCCTAAAATGCGCATAGGAAAGAAAAATTGGATACAGGATTAAATCTTGATTTAAGTAACTATTTAAGCTTCTAAGAAGCTTAGAAGTGAAATAACCTAGTTTACATTAAAATCAATTCACCTTTTAAACTGGAGCAAAACAGTGAACGCGGGCCACTCAGGCTGCCTCCACATGAGTGTGGCTGTTTGTTTCCCCAGGGACAAGCAGCAGTGGCACACCTCGTGCTGCCCCTCTTCGTCCCTAGGCAACACCTGGGCCATGTGCCCTCTGGCAAGTGGCATGTTACCCCAGGTGGGTACAGGATGCTGGGTCCAGCACTGGGCTGACCCCAGCAACCTTACCTGTTGTCCTGGGGGCCTCCTGGGGCTTCAGCAGTGGTGATCCTGCTGCTTGGATCCTGGCTGGCACCTGGAGTGTAGCTCCAGCCAGCCAGGCTCTGGTTTTGGGTGGTGTGCGCTGCCCCTGAATAGACCGCTCCACTTCTTTTGACCCTGGGAGATCCCAGGGTCAAACCCTCCCCCTGCCCTCCCTATACACTCTGTACAGCTGAATGTGTGGTCTGCATACCACGCAGCTGCGTTCGTCTGGATACGGCCTCAGAATGCAAGCAGCTCCCACTCTTAAATGTTTTCCCTCCAATGCTTGATAAACATTTAAGACGCACTGAAAAATTGTGTCTTTACGAAGTTCTGACTGTTAAAAGTGGTTTATCCTGTACCTCTTAGGAGATCTTTTTGGCTGATCCAAATTCAGCTATACACAGACAGTAAAAGATTATTTGAGGCAGTCTTACAGGAGTGCAAGAGCAGGAAAAAGTCACTCACCCGTGCCCGATGTCTCCGGACTTTACTGATTTGATCTGCTTTTGCCTCCATTCTTCCCACCAGTGCCTCAAGTTCCCTCTCCAGGTCTTCCCTGAGGGCAATGGTTGGAGCTTCCTGGATTAGCTTTGTTAGCTGCTGGTGATCACTTCCATGTAATTTAAAGACAGAAAAAAAAAAAGCTTAGGTCAAATCTAATGTTGCTATGCTTATGTGCTTATGTCTCTAGGGAGACACAATATCAGCAGCCAGAAAGTTTCAGTCTTTTATCTGGTTTTCTTTAACAACTCGTTTGCAAAGCTCTTGCTGGTATTACAGGAAGGCATGCTAGTAGCTCATTCTTGCTGTACTGGCTGGCTGTTAAAAATACAGGTTTGTTTGAACTCAAATACTATTAGGTTAAGATGATACAAGTAGCCTCTTCCAGACATAGTCTGAACCTTCAGAGAGTTGTTTAGAAAGCCCAAGTTCTCCCTCTACACCTCCTTATTCCATTTATATGAGCTACTGGTATTTTAAGTCTGGGCTCCTACAGATGCTGGGAAGACAACAGAAACTGAAAACAAGAGCCCTAAAAGAAGGATAGTCTTATTTACTCAACTGTCTGCTGTGCAATGAACGATGAGAAATGGAGCCTGGGGTAGCAATCCCTTAAGTCTGGTACTGCTGTAGGCAGGTACAATTAGCAAAGGAACTCTGCAGGATAGAATAATCAAAACTGAGTGCTAACACTACAGAAGGGAAAGTTGGTCTCTACTTGGCATCAATTGGAAAGAACTAAACTATACACCATTAACATAGCTCCAACCCCACCCAAAGGCACCTACCATTCTTGGGGAAGAGGCAGCCCAGGCCTTCCCCCCCATCCTACAGAAAACTGCCAACATCAGACCAGTGGTAAAACACATTCACATTTTCAATTAGACAATTTATTACAGAACTCACAAACTCATTTGTCCAAATTCATCCTGCAAAGTCAGCAGCACTTCTGAGAGCTCTTCCTGGGATGAAGAAGAGTCATTCGACAAGGAGGGCTTTCTGTCTTTGCTGGTATGAGGGACACTGCCAATGGACTTAGCTAGTGGAACATCAGTGACCACGCGATTGTTACACAGGGCTTTTGAGTGTTGTTTCATCAGGTGCAACACATGCTGGACATTGGCACCAACAGAATGGCTGGGACCAGTAGACTGAAGAAGAAAAACAAAGTATACATAAATAGTTCTTAGTGTCTATTAACAACTTAGAGCAATTGAGATATGTTGCAAGACATTTAAAAAAAACCAAAAACAAACAAACAAAAAAAAAACCACAATCCTAATTATGTAATTTTCCTTTTGATTTGTTGCTAGGAATTACTTTAAGGGATTTTTGTTTGTATTATGAGTACTTCTTGTGAAAAACAGCATAACTAGACAGGCCTGGGAGCAAAGGGCCCATTTTATATGTACCAATTCATTGTGATCCCAACGACAAACCTCCGATAGAAAAGAGCTGGAAAGAAAACAGATTAAATCTCTTAATCAGTCTGACCACTGGGTGTCACAAGAGCACCAAGTCAGAGGCCGAGTGTAAGCTATGTTTTCTGAACCTCAGACTGTTACATTTGATTTCAATCTCCTGTTCCTTATTTACGGGTTTTCAAAATTAATCTACTTACCTTTCCAGCTACAAACGGCACATCACCCAGACACAGTCTATAGTGGGGCTGAGTGTTAAGATGGCCTGAAGGAGAGCATTTCTGAAAGAAAACAGTAGCTTATTAGAGGTAGCACTCACTGTCAAGCCCATTCTCCTCTGCTTTCTAATTACAGGGGTGGCCCAGTGATCAAAGAACACAGATACCTAGCTGGCTCCTCAATCACTGCCCTTCTTTCCCACCCCCCATATCATTTAAAACAGCAGCATACTACCTTATCTGAGTGCTTGGCTTTCTTCTTCGTTTTTCTTGATTTTGCAGAGTTTGATGGTGACCCTGCCTGAAACAGTATTTTGCTGGTTTCCAGGCCCATCTGAAGCTGCAAATGGGAATTATGATTTTTTTAATTAATCAGAATGTGTGTGCTTGCACACATGCAAAGGCTTATGAAATGGCAGGGGCACATAGCCTCTACAGCAAGACTGCATTGTTACTGTCAAATAATAGTGACCATGACTGCATCTAAACTATACTTCCTGACCAAATGAAGGATAAGTAATCTCAATGGAAGCTGAATGAGGTCACTTCCAGGCTAAAAAGTGCTAAATATTAATCCTGCACCTCCTTTACCATCACTGCTGATTGCTAACACATTGATCAAGTCCACTTCCTGGTCCTGCCCAATTACTGATGTTATTTATGGCATCACAAGTCCTTGTATTTTGGTGGAGCTATGGTGAACAAATCCCCCAGTTAGAGTTATCCATGTGAGTACAGCTGACAGTACCCTGTTCATTTGTGCCCCAAGGTTGAAGAAGTGGCTTTTTAAACTATTATTTCCATCCACTGCCAGCAAAGAAATTTCTCAAGTGAACATGTGTGATTCATATAGGAACTAGGGCTGTCAGTTAATTGCAGTTAACTTACATGATTAAAAAAAATTAACGTTTTAAATTTGTTTTTGCGTTAATTGTGCTAATCGCACATATTATTTTGACCAGTGGAGCGGACCAGCCAGACCCTGCATACACAGTCCAAACCCCAGCCCGGCCTGCACTTGGCTCCAGACTCACCTGCTCATGCTGAGCAGCGCCAGCAGTTGGGCAGAAGCTGCTACTTGGCACAGGGGAAAAGCAGCCCCTCCCCCCACCACTGCCGCAGTGTTCTTGCTGCAGCCAGCCATAGCTCATGCCCAGGCTGCCCTGCAGCTCCTCTTCACTGCCATCACCGCCACCTCCAGGCCACCCAGTGGGGCAGTGGTGGCAGTGCAGAGGAGCCGCAGAGCAGCCCGAGTGCATCTGGGTGGCTGCAGCAAGAAGTGCCTGGCAGCGGTGAAGGGGAGGGGCAACTTTTTCTCCATGCCAAGCAGCAACTTGCCTGGCCTCTGCCACTGCTCAGCACGGACATGAGTCTGGAGCAGGCACAGGGCAGGCTAGGGTCAGTGCTCTTTGCACAGATTCCAGCTGGTCCAGGGCAGGCTGGGATTGGGGCTGGGGCTGGGCACTATTGGTGGTGGCGAGGAAGAGCCACAGGGTGCATGGGCTCTGGGCTGTTAGATGGTGCCTACTGTTGTTCAACTGTGCAATTCAAATTGCAACTATTTTTTTAAGCCTTGCAATTAATTGAGATTCATTTTTTTAATAATCAGTCCTAATAGGAACAGCTCCATTTCTATATATCATACAACTCTTAGTGCAGGAGTGCAACATGTTACCTGACCTTTTCTTTGGAATTCCCATTCCAGTGGGGAACATTTGCCCCTCTTGTGTACCAGCAGCCTGGGAAAAGAAGTTTCTTAGGGCAGGGAACTTCCACCCTTACTTAGGCAGCATTTGTTTGATAGTACATATTCTCCCTTTGGCTGTCCGCAGGCTCCTAGTGTAAAAATATTAGCTACATTTTTTGTTCTGTATCCATGTGAAGTCTGGGGAAGAGAACACGGGGTATGTTGCAAGCTACAGCAATCCTAGTTTCTAAGGGCTCGAGGGAAAAACATGCACAAACAGCTCAGGATGAAGTCCTGAAAGAAGTTAGGAGGTCCCTTTGGAAATGTTGAATGAAAAGAAGATCCACCCAGTCCGTGATGAGCTTGTATACGGGGAATTCTTGATTTAGTACAGGGCTAAGCATCCAATTGACTGGATGCAGTGATCAAACCTGAAGACAGAAAGAAAAGCTATATCATCTTGCCTCCTGAGCTGAAGGTCTAGCTCATGGGCGGGCAGTTATTTTGGGCAGAGGGCTACTTACCCAGTTTTGGCAAGCTGTCGAGGGCCACAAGGGTAGCCCTGCCCCTTGGCAGGTGCCCCGCCCCCTGGTCACCATCCTGGGACCAATGTCCCAGGGCAGCACCAGTGGGGCCCAGAGCAGGGTGCAGGCTGGCAGAGATCTGTGGAGCCAGGCTGGGCTGCACCAGCAGGGAGAGGGGGGAGCTGGCCCGGCTCCACAGAGTCCCTGCTGGCTGGGACCCCTGCTTCTGCCGCCCTGCTCTGGGCGCTGCCCCCAGGACACCAGCGTGGGCTCCGTGCACCCGTTCACTCCCAGTGCAGTGGTATAAGCAGGGGGCAGCATGCAGCCCCGACCACCTGCTCCCCAGCAGGGAACAAGCTGGTGCTGAGCATGGGGGAAAAAGCGGCTCCACCCCCACCCCATGGTTGGTGCTCCCTGCTGCAGCCACGCAGGGCTGTCCTGAGCAGGCACAGGCAGCCCCATGTGGGCTGTGAGTGGCTGCAGTGCAGGGCGCCAGCCACCGGGTGCCGGCCACGGGGCAGGCAAGGAGCTGCTTTTTGTGCTCAGCACCAGCTTGTAACCCACACCTGCTGCCCGCCCGGGCGCGCTGGTCGTGGGCTGCGCAGGGCGGCAGCAGCTGCAGCCCCCCTGCTTGCCACACCAGGCAGCGTTTGCCACCGCTGCCTCTGGGCTGCCCAACACGCAACCTCTGGGCAGGCAGCAGCAAACACAGCCCAGCACGGCAAGTGGAGGGGCTGCAGCTGCTGCAGCACAGCCCCGACAGGCAAGCCCAGAGCCGGCGCAGGGCCCAGGCTGGCAGCGGGGTCGGGTTACAAGCTGGTGTCAACTGTGGGGAAAAGCAGTCTTACCCTGTGGCTGGCATCTCACACTGCAGCCACTTGCAACCTGCGTGGGGCTGCCTGTGCCTGCTCAGGACAGCCCCATGCAGGCTGCAAGCAGCTGAAGCAGAGAGCGCTGGCCACAGCATGAGCAAGGGGTCGCTTTTCCCCAGGCTCCTCCCCTTACCCAAGTTTTCTGTTGCAGCTGAGAAGCCACATGGTCCCAGGCCAGAAGCCCCTGCTGGGGCTTTCAGCTGGGTGGGGGGGAAGCCGGGCAGGCCCTGCTGTTGCAGGAGCCTTCCAGGCTTCCCCTGGGTCCTACTGTCCCTGGTTCCTGTCATTTTTTACAGGAACCAAAAGACAGATAAATATTAATTTTCTACATTTTTAGGGGCCCCGCAGGCCAGACAGAATGGCCTTGCGGGCCGTATTCAGCCCGCAGGCCATATTTTGCCCACCCCTGGTCTAGCTGAAAGAAATGCTGCAATTTCCCTGCCTTTAAGTGCAATTTACCTGCTGTCTTTCAGTAGAGAGAGCATGCAAGGTTACAGATATTGGTTCTTCCCACATTCCCTCCATTGCCGAGGAAAAACAAATTGGATTAGTTGGAAAGGAAAAAAAATGCAGGAAAGTCAGGGGGGTATCACTTTGTATTTTAGGAGTCAAGCACCAGATAGACTGCCACAATCTCTTCATTACATTGCATATCCTGGAGACCATACCAGTGAGCTTGGCTGAAAGGTTAGTAAGAGGAATACAGCTACTCGCTACACACCGTACCACAATGGGAAAGACTGCTGCTGGTTACCTCAGCTGCTTTGTCCTGCACAAGCTTCCTTGCATGTTCCTCCTCCTGCAGTTTCTGTTCCAGCTCTTTCATTTTTTTCTAATTAAGGTTAATAGGGAAGATACCGTTACTGTTGGAATATATGGCTCTTTTCTTCTTGAATGACAGAATAGGAACTTGAAGAGATTCAGTATATTTGTCCATGCCAGGTAAAGACTCTAGAATCAGAGTAATTTCTGCTATCTCTATGCAAACAGTACACTATATTCTTTATATTTAAATTGAAGATTTACTGTATTTGCCCATGTTTATCTTCAGAAGTGCCCATGAGTGCAAAACAAACGACTTAAGGTTGGTGTGGGGGAGGGGGGGGGCGTGATCTAAATCAGGGAGTAAAAATGGTTTGGCTGCCCTTCTTGAACAATCTGAAGAGTCCTAAAAAAGCTGAATGCCCTCCCCTTTTGTTTTTTTGCATTAAAGTGATGTCCCATTCTACTTGCTCTGGAAGACACCGGGCAACTACAGAACTAGCAAGTTGGACAGAATTCAAACTTGATTGTGGAGACCTGATTTTTATTTATGCTATTTCACAGCATGTAAGTCAGGTTTTGAAGCCCAATTTTGGCCTCTGAAAATGGAACTTTGACTTATACACTATGCCACCTTCTCCTGTGAGTGGTGCCAGGCTCAGTGCTCGACTGGCACAGCCCAGCCAGCACCGCTCGCAGGGGATGGGGTCACACCAGCCAAGCACTGAGCCCAGCACTGCTCGCAGGCGATGAGACTGTGCCAGACCAGCACTGAGCCTGGCCCCGTCCCCTGTGAGCAGTGTGGGACTTGGCAGCACCACTCATAGTAGATAGGGCCAGGCTTGGTGCTCAGCTGACATGGCCCCATCCTCTGTGATCCCATGCCACTTGCAGGGGATGAGGCCGCACCAGCCGAGCCCAGTCCCATCCCTATCCCCTGCAAGCAGCACATCCCCAGCCAAACATGGAGCCCAGCATTGCTCACAGGGAACAGGGCTGAACTCGGCGCTCGGCTGGGGAAGTGCCGCTCGCAGGGGCCGGGGCTGGGCTTAGCTGCCGCAACCCAGGCAACACCACTTGCAGGGGATGACGTTGCGCCAGCTGAGTGCCAAGCCCGGCCCCAACTTGGATACCATGCCTAAGAAAATCCTAACTTTCCTAACTTCAAACCAAGGTCAACCTATACACTGTGAAATACTGTAGTCAGTTAAAAAAACCAAAACATATACATAATTAAAAAAGCAGGGGGGGGGTGTGTGCACACGCATGCACATGATTTTAAGTCTAGTTCATATTTTAGTTTTATATACATAAACACACATTATACACACAAACGTTAAATATTTACATTTATATTTATTTACATTAAGTAAGAAATAGAGCCATCTATAAATATACATATAAAAATATAAAATAAAAGTTTATTTTCATTAACACCTGTTAACTCAAACACTTGAAACAACTAGGGGTAAAAAAAACCCCACACACACTTGAATTTCCTGTTTTGACTGGGAGTGGGGGAAGAGGGTGGCGGCAGCTGCACACAGAGCAGGGGGGGCATGCAGAACAGCGGCAGCACAGGGTGGTGGGTGGCAGCAAACTTTCCCCACCAAGTGCAAGCTTCCCTCCTCGTGTTCAGCTGGCTGGCCAGCAATTCCAGTTAGCGGAGTGTTACGGTTATTTAATGCCAGTTAAGTAACCGGCATTTACTACAGCTTTTACTACATCTATAGAGATATAGATATTAGGGCTGTGCAAATCTTTGGTCCCGGATTCGATTTGGCAGAGATTCAGCCCGATTCAGTGGCCAAATCTCTAAATCCGAATCAAATCAGAGGACCCTTTAAAAATCACTCCAAATTGAATCGAAACCCTCCAAATTGATTCAGAGAGATTTGGACAGAGACAGCTTTAAATGTTTTTTCTACATACCTCTAGGTAGCAGGGGCTCGTGAGTGCTGCGATGCTGGGGCGCGTGGAGCGTCCCACAGGAGTGGGGGGGCTCCCCAGTGCACTTTGCAGCAGACCCAGAAGTGGACCAAAAGCACTTCCGGTCCACTTCCAGATCCGCTGGGAAGCATGCCAGGAGGGCCCCCCAGCTCAGCGACTGGTCCCTCCTGGGTCTGGGGGGAGCACCTGGGGTCCCCCTGCAGCCGATTGCCAAGCCAGGAAGGTGCAGGGGGACCCCCCAGCAGACCCAGAAGTGCACCGAAACTACTTCCGGTCCACTTCTGAGTTTGCCGCTGAGCACGTGGAGGGCCCCCCACACTCCTGTGGGATTCTCCATGCGTCCCAGCATCACAGCGATCACAGTTGCACCTGCTACCTCAAGGTATGTAGACATTTTTTTTTTTTTAAGTTGTATCTGTCCAAATTGCTGATTCTCTGAATTAGCATTGAATCTTCACATTCTGATTCGGCCAAATTGAATCAAGGACAGCAATCCGAATCAAATCACTGTCCCTGATTTGGGCCGAATTCGAATCAAATAGGGCCCACTTCGCACACCTCTAATAGATATAAAGATTCCACTAATGAAAAGAAGCCTTTTAAAAAAAATTGTTGGGAGACATCAAAATTTACTACAGGAGAAGGGACTGTTTTGTCCAGCTCTAGTAATGATCTTTGCTATAGGATTAAAAGCATGCTAATACTAATGACCAACACAAGTCTGATCCAGATCACAAGAGGAATGACTGACCTCTGCTAGGGACTGCATTGCAGTCAGTTTGGTGTATTCTTGTTCCAGCATATCCAGCTTCTCCAATTTAGACTGAACATGCGACTGATCAAGTCTCTCTCTCTCTAATGTGGCCTGGAAGAAGACAAAAGTAAAAAGGCAATACAATTTTTAAAAGTGCAACTCCACTAAATCATCTACAGATATCCAAATTGTTATAGCAGCCTCACAGTAAAACAAAACAAGTCACTGATTTCTCTCTATGTTTGGTGCAACTATGCCTTCAAATAGCATTCAATGGCAGGCACCTCATAACCATAGAGATGTCCTGGAGAACTGAAGAGATTAAAAACAAGTATCTTCAATTAGGTATTAGAAGCTCCCTGAAAATAGACAATCAGTAGATCAATGTTGCAATGACTGACTTAAGAGCTGTGGAGGGGTGGGGAAGGGAAAATTCATATTTGGAACAAACTGGGCTAGTTTTTATTTTAGAGCCTAACTTTAGGTAGCAAGTTTTGAAGGAAAAAAAAAAAAAAAAGAAAGTGGCTGTATCGTCATTAATGAGAGTTCTGCCATTATCAATCGAGTTCATTGTTCACCCATATAGCCATAACAAGCAAGAGAAAGGGAGCAAGGAAGTTATACACAGTGGCACAGCACAACCACGCAGGTTTGCTTGGAAAATCCAAGTTTACCTGTTTGTCCAACAAGCTTGTCTTTTCTTTTTCTGCATGCTCAATCATTTTCCTCATATATTCCAGCTGCTTCTCTAGAAGTCTGCAACGTGATTCAGCAGTTGACAGTTGGGAAGCCAGTTCTGAAGATATCGGAGACAGTGGAAACGTGAATTCAGTTGTTGTCGTCGTCATCTGCTTCCTGCAGCTTTCACAATGTGCTAAGTGCCGTTCCAAAACTAAGCAAGGAACAGTCCCCATCTCAAAATGCTTAGAGTTCAAGTGCTTAAACTTAACTTAAACCTAAAAGTTAATTCAGATTAAAGTAGTGTGTTCTTAAAGGGCAGAAGCTATTCCTGAATAACTCCATGTATAGATACTTAATGCAAATAAGACTGTACCCATGGGGCGATTTCAAAATGGAGCTATTCCAGAATACATAGATGCAAAATAAATTATTACATACATGTCACACAACACATGCAACAGGTAGACAGAGTTCTTTGGGTAAGTGTGATGTCTTTTATTAGACCAACTAAATCGTTGGAAAAATTGTTCTTTGCAAGCTTTCGGGTACAAACACCCTTCTTGAGGTATAGGGAAAGTCTGCTGTTGTTGTGTGTGCTCTCCTGGGTGGAATAGAAGCCAAAATGTCTACGTCTGAAAAAGGGTGTTTGTGCCCAAAAGCTTGCGATGAACAATTTTTCCAACTATTTAGTTGGTCTAATAAAAGACATCACATTTACCCAAAGAAGCATGTCTGCCTATGTCCTTAGACCAACAGAGCTACAACTAACAACCCTGAACACATGCAACAGGCTTTTTTTTTTTTTTTTTTTAAGTATGACTAAAGTTACCCCCATTAGCTCTTCAGGGAGTGAAATTATCTCCTTATTCCCAAGTATGTTAGTGACCATTTAGTATAATAGAACCCACATCATCTGTATCTGGTGATCCCCAACCCACTTAGTTCACAGTGGTTACCAAATTAACCAGCAATTTCCCAGCTGTTTGCCAAAACATTTACTTCAAAGGGTGCTACAATCAGCTGTTGCTTATCAGTGGTTCCACCCTGTTACCAGAAACTCATTACCATGGATCTGGGTTTTCTGCTTGCCATGGAAAAAACAGATTTTCTCCTTTAAAGGAGAGAAACGCAGGAAACCACAGGTTTCCCCATGCAGGCTGGCAGAGTTCCAGCCTGCAAGGGGCTGCTTGGGACAGGGGAAGCAGGAGGACAGCAATCAGAGGCAAGGCATGCACTCCAGGGCAGGGGTCAGGCATCAGGTGACACATTGAGGCAATGGGGGGGCATGTGCCCCCCCAGATTTGTGCACCGACAGCAGGGCACAGGGCTGCAGCCTAGCTGGACTGGCACACAGCTGCTTCAGCGGGACTCCCATGCCAGCTGTGCCACCAACAGTGTGAGGAGTAATGGACTGGGGGGCATGCTGACCTCACCTCCTCTCATCGCCAGCCGCTTGCATGCTGAGCCACAGCTCTATCCCAAAGGGGTGATGGGATTGGGGGGGCATGGGCAGCCTGAGGGGACAGGTGGCAGCTGGGCCATGGCAGTGGGCTAGACCTGTGGCCTGGCACACAAGCAGCTGGCAGCAGGAGGAGGTGAGGGCAGTGTGACCCCCTTCCCCTCCTGGTCTATTACTCACACTGCTGCTGGTCCAGGGATCCCAGGCAGTGGCAATGAGTCTTGCCACCCCACTCCACCCTCCCACGCCAGGTCCCACCTGCTGGGCCAGACTGCAGCCCCATGCTCCACTTTGGGCACAAATCTGGGGGGCACATGCTCCCCAATGCATCACCTATGACATCAACTATGGTCCTGCCATGGCTCCCCCCCACCAGACACTGGGGGCAGCAGGTCAGGAGTGAAGGGCAACAGCGGGGGGGGGAAAGAGGGAGAGGAAACAGGAAGGGAGGGAGGGCTGTGGCTTGGGAGTGAGGGGCACTAGCATATCAGGACTTCTCAGTGCTACAAAGCAGCTAGGGGGACAGCTGCAACTTGACCCATGTCCTGGTGGGTGAAGGGGGAGCTCTGATTTTCTACGATAAAAAAAACCTCCACCAAAATACATAGATATTAAAATAAATTATAAATATAAATGACTGAGGCACTGATAGGCTTCCAAATTACTTTAAAATTGTAAATATATCAACAGACCATTGTGTTCAACTGATACCTAAAAACACGGTTTTTAAGTCAGAGAATTTAGATTTTTAAACAGAGAAGACCAGGATCCCTGCTCATCACTGACTGGCCTCTAGAGAGACAAGACTGCAGCCCATTTAAGACATGAACCTCTTTTGCAAACTTAGACACAACATTAGAGCCTTGTCCGGACCTTACCCTGTAAACTGAACAAATATTAATCAGCTTAGTGCTGTTCGGCTTAGTGGAAGTTACATGGTAAAGCAAAAAACCTACTCTGACTGCCCATCACCTGCACAGCTGACTTGCACTAGAGGCTTGGTGAGCAAGGGCAGGACTAGGAGCTAGGGGAAGGACAGGTCTCACTGCTCCTGCTGAGTAAAGTAAGTGCTGCAGCCCCAGTGCCTCCCACTGCCCCTCAGACTGGCTCTGCTCCCAGCTCTAGGGAGCCCATCTGGGGTGGAGGAAATGAAACAATGCCTCCCTGCCACCACTTAAACAGCAGGTCTGCTTCCCAGGGGTAGAGCAAGCCTGTCCAAGATGGAGGGGAGCAGAAGAAGGGGGATGGGGGGCAGCAAGGAGGCAGTGTCCCTCCAGCTCAGACTGGCTCAGTCTGCTCCTGGCAAGATGCTGCGCCCCCGCTTCCCTGCTTGCCCACTGCCTCCTGCTGTAGAGTAGCTACAAGTTAATGGAACAGGAGCAAAATTAAGCAGGTTAGAAATAATCCTACCCTGAAGTGGTTTAAGCCATCTAAATGGTGTTAACTTGCAGCTAGTCCAGGCTTTACAAGCTCCAGAAGCTGCCTAAAGTTACTGTGTAACAAGGCCCTTAATATACAGCTACAATTCCCCTAGTTAACACCCCTGGGAGGAGGTGGGGAAACCAAACAGACAAAACAACTCCATCCCCAACAAATCTACAGTTTAACCCTTTTTGTCACACCCACAAAGCACAAGACCAAATACTCAAATGCACATTTAGCTCCCCCTAAAATAATATAGCATAACACAGATTCTCACCAGCTGGAGGGGGATGGTGGTGGTTCAGAAGGTAGTACACAGACTGACAGCAGGTCTTCTTGAGCTTCCCCTCCTCCCACCCCCCAGGCTTTTCCTTGAGCCTATATTCTGTATCAGTAGGTCTTAACTTTTTTAGATTCAAAGCATCAGACTCAAGGCAATCCTCCACAACTTCTATGAACTGAGCAGCACCCCATTTCAAAAACATACTTATTAGAGGTGTTACCTTCAAGCAGAGGGGACAGACAGACAGGGTAGGGGAGCAGCTAGGCAGGGAGAGCAAAGCCTGCCCTTATATCTGCTTATCTCCTCACACCTGAAGCCTGAGGCTACCTTTGTCTTCTTATCTCCTTACACTTTCTGCAGTATCCTTCAAAGGATCTCAGGGACACAGTAACCCTGTTGATAATCACTGCTCTATATTTATAGATGGCTTATTCTAATATTCTAGTAATTGTTCTTTGAAACTGAACTAGTTCTCTTGTGGACTTGGAAAATATCAATTAGTTGGGATTTATGCTCCTGTGAAAGTTACACTATAGGGGGAGTGCTTTCTTATCTCCTTCCCTTTGCCATTGTGGAATGCCGTTCAATACAGCATTTCTTCTCTTCCCTTCCTTCTCCACCTTAGTTCACAGTCACCACCGACTAAGCTGTTTTATTTTTATGACTTGTCTAAGAATCTTAATGAAAATATCTATTATAAAACTGTATTCAATACGTTTGGTTAAACTATATCATAGCTTTAGCAAATAATAATATTTGGATCATCCAATGCTCTGAGATGACCTGGCTCAGCTAGACAAGCGAATTGCTTTCTTTCCTTTGCTAGGAGTCATGTCTAAAAAAAAGTTCATTTGGCAGTCACTCAGAAACAGGCTTTTGGGGCCTCCTGCTTTAGCCACACTTTGTAGCATTGAACAGGCCCCTTGAAAATTATCAGCTCTGGCTACAAGCAATTACTCATTTCTGCCTTACCAGACTCAGTCAACAGAAACACACTACTATTTAACAGGATTCCAACGAGCCACACAATTCAATTCTCATCAAAAAACAAAATATCAAGTTATTATAGCTGTTACATTAGTCACCATTCGTGTTATCCATAATACATTATTTCTACCTGGCTTGGCCCAATACTAGTGGGCTTGACCAACAAGCTTCATTCTACTTTCCTATGCTACTGCTTATAACTAAAATGCAAGGCTAAGCACATAGTGTCATAACTAAGGCTGACACTAGGTCCAAAGTCTGCATTCAACATCATGGCGTTTCAGTCACTCACCACATCCGAAGCCTACAACACAGCTGTTCAGAAAAGCATTGCACTTTAAAATAAAATGCAGTAACAGCTGGAGCACCTCAGTGGCTAATCTGAAAATCCTCATTTTTGCAGAGGAAAGAGAAGGAAGGAAGCTAACCCTGCCACATATCTGGGTTT